AATCAGTACAAGCCACTTGTACTGTATCCTATTATATGTAACAATAAAGAGGCCAAACTTTATTGAGTTATAGACTGCATATAAAGCCCGGTGCACACGACGCCAGTTTTCATGCTGGACAGTTTTTGTTTGTTTGTTACCCTAGGAACGACATGATAAACCATAATTTACGATCTTGCGCGACATAATTTGCGATCTGGCCTGCTAGATTTCACGCATTCACAACGGCGGTATACTCATCATAATTTCTAAGTAAAACCGTTGCCTTAACAACGTCGGAATTTGATTTCATAACAACTTCAGTCCTTGCAAATTCCTCCCGTATTTTACGAATAGAGCATGTCCTATTCGGCGATAGATGAACGATCTCGTGGCCGATACCTTCAGTGTCCAATAGGAAAGCTGTATTTTGACACGAAAATATCAATGCGTACTTGATTCATTTACTTCGATTTTGGAAGCGTTTAGTTTTTATTTTGTAAATAGCTATTGTGTATATATAGCGGCGTGAATAAATGATTAGTTTAGGAAAGGCAGTTCAGTAATTTTAAAATATTCAAATTTCTGAAAAAATTTAAATATGCATTTTTTTTTCCAATTTTCGTCCAAAAAATTACAAAAAAATTCAAAACGTTTTATTTCAAAAATTTCGAAATTTGCAAAAATACCCGAAATTAAAAAAAAATTAGTTGGGTGTATGGCATCGTGCCTTAAGGCAAATTGCTGGAACTTCCCGTACCGTAACGAAATGATCGAGGAATATTAAATGTTTTAAAATAGATTATTATAAATATTGTAACATTGTCTAATATTTATAAGAATTATATAAACTGAATTGGAAAGTTGAAATTACTTGTTTAAAGTATATTAGAACAGAATTTAAATAAAAATCTGAATTATTTTCGATATACAAAAAAATGTTTTTTTCTCGAAAAAAAAAAAAATTTGAAACAAGATTTTTTTTTCCAAAATCAATTGTTTCGGTAAAACAAGCAGAAAGTTTTTTGAATCATTTAAATCGGACGCTTAGTTCTCTCAAAAACTGCCATTTTTTGCTCATTTAGCTCTGTATCTTCGAAATGGGCTGGGCCCGCCTTTGCCAAAAACTAATTACCACTTCTCCCAATCATTACTAGTTGAATGTTTTTAGATCATTCAAATCGGATGCTCCGTTCTCTCAAAAACTCGATTTAAATTTTCTGCACTCATTGCTCTTTATCTCCGTAATTGCTGGACCTGCCTTTGCCAAAAACTAATTAGCACATCTCAAAATTTTTGAAGAAAAAAACTAAATATCTTTTAAGTTATCGTCGATCTCCAACGGCACAAAAAAGGCCTTTCACTGCTTCAGTGATTCCGGCCTTCTACGTGGATCAAATCCAAAAAAAAAATCGTTAAACTAGATAATGTTGTCTGTAAAATAAACTACGATAAAACAGAAATCAAAAATTGATTAAATGGTGGCGTTTTTTATAAAAAAGTTTTTGGACTGCCAAAATTCGATTTTTGATCCTATCAAAAAATCGATAGTTTATTTTACGAGAACTATATATAAAGCATGTACAAAAAAATTGATAGTGATCGGATCATTTGTTTTTAAGTAATCGCTGCAGCAAATTCGAAAAATGCTGTTACGAGAAAAACGCGTTTAAAGATAAAATGATCGTTATACTATATACTATATATATATATACTCTTTAAATGGCTGTGACTCAAAAACTATTTAAGATATCGATTTGAAATTTTGGTATGTTATTTTTAAAGGTATAACCTATCGAAATATGAAAAAATATGAAAATTCGACTACAGTTTGAAAATTTCACACTAGTTGTGCCCCTTAAACTGAAGCATTTTATTATCTTATAATTATTATTATTTCACTTAATTCTAATCAGATGCGATACGTACATGTTTTTGTTTACAATTCATACCATTCTCTGTTTTGACACTTATAAGCATTAGTGTATTTTAGACCTATAAAATATAAATTGTGAAATTCACAGTATATATTTATAATAATCTATTTGAAAATGTACGAAATTAATAATAATCATAAAATAAGTGAAAATCTGGCGCAAAATTCTTGCTCGCTAGAAATCCTGTTACGATAGAAATCATATTACAAGGAATACTGGCGTCGTGTGCACAGGGCTTAATTCATTTTATCGTATAGTAGGAAGGTACTATATATAGTACGTCCCACTGTTTGAATCGGCTCTAATATTTTATCATAATATGAACCTCAATATATTACATTATACGTGCGTATACGTGAGCGTTTGTTTCCATAATCCATATTCCGTGCAGAGAGATATAAAAGATAACACCGAAAAAACGATTATAAGATATCCATATAACCAGTAATGTGTTTTTCACATGATTTATGACATCATAAATAATAAATCGCTCCACCTTAATACATAATATCGATCCTTTAATCTTTTGTTTATCTTCAATCATTGATTTTTTTCTTTAATGGGGGAAGTAGAAACTTAGAAATGATCTTTATTGTTAGAAAATAAGATTCTAAAATAAACTTCTTGATGTTTGTAACCAGCGTAAAGCAAATGGTACTTATATAATATCTTTAGTTCAATGTACCATAAACAATTCACCTAATTCCCTGTCTACCTATATATTATATACATATCTGCCTGTTTGAATGTTTGAATAAATCTGCATATCTATCTACATATTCATCTATCTACCAGCTAACCTGTCTAACAATACAACTATCTGCCAGTTTACTTGCCCACTTTTTTACCTGTCTACCAAAATACTGTTCTGCCAGTTTACTTGTCCACCAATTTACCCATCTACCTATTTTTCTGTCAACACATCTATCACTCTATCTGTTTAACTGTTTAACTGTTCATCTGTCTATTTGTCTACCAGATCACCTGTCTAACAGTCCATCTGTGTATCAATATCAATAATTCTATTTGTATATAAATCAATAATATCAAATCAACAATATGTATATCAATTTGTTATCATCATTTTTGACCACCAAATGTTATATTTTTAACTTTACTTACTGCAATCTAGAAATCGCTGAGCCTACTTAACTCTTTGTCATTACAAGTAAAATCTTTGTTGAACCATTCAAATCACATGCTCTGTTCTATCGAAAACAATTTCCATTTTCTACACTCTTTTCTTCATATTTCCGAAACGCCTGGGTCTAGTTTTCCTAAAAACATGAATCGAATGTTTTTTGAATAAATCAAATCGGTTGATTCGTGCGCCCAAAATCGATGAAAAATTGCACTCATACGAAACCAATACTTTGTATACACATATAAACCCACACACGTGCATTCATTTTTTCTAAGGTATGCCAAAATGTTCAAAAACTTCTGAAACGTAAAGATATGCAAAAATTTCCATTTAAAATTTTAGAACGATTGCTCTAACTTACCATAAGAGAAGATAATAATTAACTAAGGATTAAGTTTTTTATTTCTGTAACTTAAAATGCTAATGGCGCAAAGTTCTCTAAACAACTGTCATTTTTTGCACATTTAGCTTCGTCCTACAAAGTGGCTGGTCCTGCCTTTGCCAAAACCTAGTTACCACTTCTCCCAATCATTACAAATTGAATGTATTTTGGATCATTCAATTCGGATACTCCGTTTTCTCAAAAACTTCATTTCTATTTTCTGTCCTCTTTGCACCGTATCTCCGTAACGGCTGGACCTGCCTTTACCAAAAACTAATCAGCACATCTCCCTATCAACACGAATCGAATGTTTTTTGAACCATTCAAATCGGTTGATCCGTGCGCCCGAAAACGTGGACGAAAAATTGTATCCATACACACACACACATCCATAATCTCACATACACACACATATCTATTTTTCTAAGGTATGCAAAAATGTTCAAAAACCTTCAAAACGTGAAGAAATGCAAAAATATTCAATTTCGATTTTTGAACGATTACAATAAACTTACCCCTACGGAAAGTTAATAATAAATCGAAAAAGTGAATTAATGGCTCCATTTATACTATAAGATATTTGAATATATTTATATTATAAAATCATTGAATATATTACTTTGAAAATACTATAGAATTTTGAAAATGGCGGACAATGATATAATGTCAAATAATATTCTGCTTGAAAGTGTATGATTTTATTTCATCCACTATAATTTTGACAACGTAATATATTTGCAATTCTTACCTAATGTGTAATAAGTTTTTTTTTCACATTAGCTTGTTTAATTATTATTTATATTTTTAAAATATTTGAACACCTCAAAATTTTTGAACATAAACAATATTTCATATGTTATGCATTTAATTATAAAATAATAATTCTGAGCCATATTTTTATGTTTTGATGTAAAGTGATCAACAACAATACGATAAGTGATAAAAATCTATAGAAATATCAGTAATTTAAAATAATTTTCATAAAATGGTGCTATTCAGTTACCATAATTGTAAGTGTCATCTTACGACCTTATGGGGCTTTAATAAAAATAATATTGCTCACGATCAGAATCAATAAAAAATTCATACAACAAGTTAGTTTCGGACCTATTTTATCTTAATTATTGATTTAGTGTTCAATTAAAATAAGAGTCTACGTTATGAAGTTCCATTTAAAAATCTTGATCTTGAACCCTTGTTATATTTATTTTTAGATGAGAACAAACTGATTAGAGTGAACACACCTGAATAAACTTTAAGTTAGCGTGCGTAGCCACCTCACGAAACAAATAACGCGCATATGAATGAATGAGCCAGTATTTATTAATCATGACTTAAATTAATAAATACTAAAAATGATATAATATCTTATTTAAATCTGATTAGATCATTCTGACGTCACCAAAAGAATTGAATTTAAATATTTTTCTAAACATGAATTGTCGTTTTGTATGTTGCACGCACTGTCGTTAGATGTCAGTCATGTTTTCTTGGCACTTGGCTTTCTGACAGCTAGCGCAATTCGTCCATTGCATTATTATGTATTATGTGAGATTAAAAACGTAATCATTACACGTTATAAAGTGCACGTTGGAGAAAGTTGTCCCCATGTTGTCAAGTTAATCATAAAATTATCCATTAACAATTTTTTTGATAATAAAATATACACGTAGGTAATAGGTTTTGTGCGAACCATTCTTTCATTGACGTATGTGATCAGTTTAATACGTAGTTGTAAAATATTCGTAAAATGGTTGTACAACAACAAAATAGTAGCAGAAAAGAATTTTACGAAGACGGTATGTTGTTCTAAGTGTTCTACGAGTACTGTTAATAATAAAAAATAACTTATGCTAACAAAGTGTATTATAGTGTAATTGTCATTCCTTCATCTCTCTTTTGGTTTGAATGGTATCTAAAATTGAAATAATAATAATCATGGCATAATTTAACGTTTTTTTTGTCTACTACCTCTTCATCTACTCCAAATAATACCATATCATGAATAACAACACAGTAAAAGGTGAGTGGTAATTACAAATTGTCATTTCTCTATGTATCAGTAAGGTTAGGACTGAAACAGGTTTCGCCTGTAACACAAAGATCAATCCATGTCAAATATTAGAATACAAATCGAATATGAAACATATGTTATAACCTTTGTGTCTTATCAGTACATTTAGCAAAATATTTTATCAAAAGTGCATATGCAATTTTGTATTTACCATCCCATGTTTATATTGATTAAGTCTAATCATTTTATGTTAAAACATAAATAATACCTTTCACAAAGCTAGACAGATTTTTGTTACAAAAACATGCATGAAAAAATATTCATGATTATTTATAATTGATTATAATATAATGAGATCATTATTGATATGATGATAGGTTATACAGCATCAAATTTATTGTGTATTTCACACAAATTTTATGTACTGTTATATGTTATTCTTACTTTTGGGGACATAATGTTTATTCAGTTTAACCCAATGTAATGTCATATAAATAGAAAACAAACTTTCTTCTTGAATTCACGACCACAATTATACAAATACATTTATGATAGCTTTGTATCAATTTTTTATTACAAATTGTGATAATATATTTTTTTCTATTTAATATGAATCAATTTATAAAACTTCACCAATATATATACTTTTAATTTGTATTATATTTTTATTTATTTCTCCAGCACGTCCTATTGCATTATGTATACCTTATGTGAACTACGTTTTTCACATGCTAATTAATGAATGTATTATTTTATGTATTTTTTTTTTTTTGCAACATTAGTCCATTGTAAGTCATTCCATTATGGTGCATCGTTTCTTTTTAATTGTTTAGTATTCATTTATAATTAAAATTAAAATTTTGAATTACTTTTTATTAAGTTAATGAGATATTTTAATTATTCCATAATAAAAATTTTATACTTTATAAATACATACACTTTATAAATATCACACTCCAATGTTACACTCCAATATTTGATAATAATCTTTACTCTCAATCTACACCAATATTTGATAATGGTACTACAATATTTACTATGATTTTTACTTTTATATTATATGATATAAATATTATGATGTACTTCAATATTTAATATTAAAGTTTACTCTCAATCTACACTAATCTTTGATAACATTATACTCCAAAATTAATCATGATTATTACTTTGATTTATAATTTTTTTGAACATTTATTACTAAAATAAACTTTGAGTTACTTTTCATTAAATAGAAATATCTAAACTAAAATAAACATGTTAGTTTTTTTTTAAAATAATATTTTATACTCTAATATTTGATAATGATCTTTACTCTCAATTCCTAACTCTCAATAATACTCTTTACTCTCAATTTACACCAATATTTGGTAATGTTTTACTCCAATTATTATAATAATTTATGCTCATATTTACAATTATTTTGAATTGCATTTATAACTAATAAAATTTTGAATTACTTTTCAATAACTTGATAAGATTTTAATTAAACTACATACAATAAAAGTTTCATACATTTCAAAAATATATTATACTTCAATGTTTTATACTTATTTTCACTTTCATTTATATAATTTATATAATTTTGGTTTGCATTTGTAACTAATAAAATTAAACTAATAAAAGTACTTTTCAAGTTGAAGATATATTTTAACTAAACTACAATAAAAATGTTAAACATTTTATAAATATTAGTTTTTACTCCAATATTGAATAAGAAACTTCACTCTCAATCTAATAAATTATCTTTGCTATAAAAAAATATCGTAAAATTCTGTCACAATCAATTTTGAAAAATACTAAAATATTCCAAAAATGATAATAAAAATCGTAAATTGTAATTTCAGTTAGAACTTTATACACATGTGCCTTTTATAACAAATAATTAATTAATTAATTAATCCAAAAAATAAAAAAACAATTAGTTTTTTGTAGATTTTTAATTACGACTTTTTGGAACTAAAAACTTTCCATTATCAAGTTTTGTTGTCAAAAACCATTTTTTATAAATTAACAATATTAATGATGTTGTAATATTTAGAAAAAAATTGAAGGAATTATGCACATTTTCTTCAAAAAAAGAAGAAAAACATATTTAGAAAAATATAAGAAATTGAGAAGCAAAAATTATTTACCTACAATATTGATCTATAATTTCATGGCACTAATTTTTTGTCAAAAGCACTCACAAAAAAATTATTGAAAATTTTGACTTTGCTTAATTTGGTAAATGTACACATTTTTCTATTTTTTTAAACAAAAGGTACATAATCCATTACTTTAAAAAATATTTAATATTTTGCAAACATCATCGTTAATATTGTTATTTTTATTATGCTAATATTAACATGTGATGTTACACAAACTCCAAGCTGACAACATGTTCGTTTGGAATAAGCTTTTTTATAATAAAATATATCATTTATTTTCATGTTCATTTTAATTTTACAATTATTAAAATTTATCATAACTCGACGTTTTATCAATTTGTTGTTTCATAATTTTTTCGTGCAATTTCGTGTGTTTTTGTGTTTTTTTTCAAATTTATTTGTATGCACTGAAGATGGGTCAAATCAAGACCCGAAACGTATGTTTTCTGAATAAAAACATTTTCTTTCAATAAAACTGTTTAATTACTGGATGGATGCCCAAGAACAATTTTATCATATTATTTCACCATCTGAAGAAAAACCTCTCGCTTCATATATATATATATATATATATATATATATATATATATATATATATATATGTATGATTCTGAATTTGATGTCGACATATGTATTAACAAAGTCTAATAATCGGGCATAACATCTAGACTGGTTGAAGATGTAATTTACATCTTCAACCAGTCTACGAATAACACACTATCCATTTGTGATTTTTTCAAATCAGTATTTTGTGAAAATATTGTGTAATTTCAAGTTAATGTTTATAATACATAGTGTAGTGCATTACCATATCCTAATACCATGGATTATTAAAATTTTCTAATTTAACACTAAGATCAACTAATTTTTCCACTGAATGAAGACTAGGATTATAGCCGAAACGTATGGATTTAAAATAAATTTTTGAAAGAAATTCATGTTTTTTATTGATGTTATGCCCGATTATTAGACTTTGTTAATATATATATATATATATATATATATATAATGTGTGTATTATGTACATGAATTTAACTAAATCGTAAACTGATGAAAAATACCCCTATAAAATTTAACAATAAGTGCTTCAACTTATTTTTTTCTGTATTTTTATTTATTAAAAATTACTTCCCATTGTTCAGTAATTAAGTAAAACATCGTGCACAATATTAATCAGTTCCTAGTCCTTTGGAATAGAAAATAATCCCTGTATTGTCCATTGTCCAACTAATTCTAACTTCACCATCTCAAATGAATCCTTTTTTTGTTTGATATTTAGTTATTAATATAATACATTATCATCACTATTTGACGAATACATCTTGAAAATTTTATATGAATGCTTTATTGTAGGATTAAAATAATTTTTTGATCATGTGGATATTTGGCACATGTTTAACTAACATGTTCCAAATGCAAAACAAAAACGACTGTAACGTACTTGATGTAGTAAACATCTCATCCATTCCATTTAGATGCATACTAATTATATAGAAAGTACAATTCATATGGTTTAGAATAGACTAGAGTTTTTGGAATAGTTCTCTGCACATTTATAAAAATAACTATTTTATATTATTTGAATAATTTAACAAAACAATTATCAGGTGTAGGATCTTCTAATAAGCTTCTGTGATGTAATTGTAATTCAAATTTCATTGTGTCCATTGTAGCAACAAATACTTTCACCAATTATGTTAACTAAAATTGAAAAAATATCTCCACTATCGCAATAGCATAATCTTATACATAATTTTGAATACTAAATAATAAAAATCGTGAATTTTGATATTCAATGATTGTAATCATTATAGAAACCAATTATATATAGGAAATATCTTTGTACATAGACACTCACCAACAGTACATTTTACTAATTATTATTAATCTCTTCAAATGAAACAGACTTTGCGCCATGGAGAAAATTTTAAATTATTATTTTTTCTTCTATTCCAACTTTTTTTAAAATCTTTGTTTAACAATAGCAATCTTCATTTAACAAGAATTTATTGTATGTTGATTGCTATTTTTATATAAATAAAAAAATCTCAATAATTTTCAATTCATGACGATGGTAATGTTGGTAAAAAAAGTTACCTATTACGCAAGCTGATTTGTTTTTTGCATTTTCTTACAATTCGAGGTCTAGTAAAAAAACTGTTTTTAATCATTAATGAAAATCTTCATGATCTTAATCTTTGTCAATAATTTTATTTGCTAGTTAGCAATTGATGAGTGGTATTAATTTTTCAATTGATCAAACTTTCCTATCGAAAATTAATAGTTGAGAAATGCAATACTATATAGTTCAGCAATATTTTAAAGTATAAAATTTTTTATAAATATTTTTCTATATCTTTTATATTTTTTCATATATCTTTCGACATATATTTAAATTACAAAAATCGATTCAAAATCCAAAAAAATATTTTCAAATTTATTATTTCTTCTTTTTTCTCATATTTTAACAGCAATCAGAAATCTTACCCCCTATAAGTTGTTGGACTGAAACATTATACATCGTATTTTTGGATGGATATTATTACAAAAACCGATTCAAAATCCAAAAAAATATTTTCAAATTTATGATTTTTTTTTCTCATAATCATCACGCCCTGTTGGGCTGAAACCTCTTCTTTCATTGTATTTTTGGATGGATCCATATTTGATTATTTCATTATTGGAATTTATCTAATAGGGCTGACTTATTTTTTTATGCTGGCTTTTTTCAGCAATGCCCAAGAAGGGCTACTTTATACATATTTAAGATTCATATTTCCAAGTAAAAATTGATGACCCAACGGTTGACCCATCCATATTTGATTATTTTATTATTGGAATTTATTTATGGGTGATTTAATTATGGGTGAGTTATTATTTAATTCGATGCTCAGGAAGGGCTACTTCATACATATTCAAGATCTATTTTTCCAAGTAAAAATTGATATCGCTACTGCTTGATTCGATGTTGTCCCTCAAGTTTAGTAATTCGTTCACCGTTTAATTCATATTTACCATCAATAGCTCTCTATTATTATAGTTTCATCATATCAATTAATTATAATTAAATTGAACTGTAATAATTATTGATCATCAAGTAATAGATGAGACGTTTCATTTCTTTCTTTGATTTCAAGAGATTAATACGATTTCGCTGTTCAAAAATGGTGAAATTCACCAGTTGCTCGAATTTCAAGTAGATTTCTAACCAATATTATAAATTTTATTTATTATTATTAATGTTGCTTTGGTTTTATTTATTCCCCAAAACTAGAAGTTTCCGAAGGTATTTATTTCGATCAGAATCATTAAAAAAATCATGCAACAAATCAGTTCCGGATATATTTTCTATACATAGGACTCTTCTATACATATTTGAAATCTATATTTTCAAGTAACAATTGATATCGCTACTGCTCGATTTCGAGGTTGTCCCTGAAATTCAGTAATTCGTCCACCGTTTGATTCATACTCTCTATCAATAGCTTTTTATTATTATAGTTGCATCATATTTATTATAATCAAATTGAACTTTAATAATTATTGATCATCAAGTAATTGATGACACGTTTCGTTTCGTTCTTTGATTTCGAAAGAAAGATTTTGTTGTGCTAAATTGGTGAAATTCTCTAGTTGCTCGAGATCCAAGTAGATAGTTGATTAACCAATATTAGAAATTTTATAGATTATTTCTAATTTCGCTTTGGTTTTATTTATTCCCCATAATTAGAAGTTTCCGAAGGACCAGACATGGGTCACCCCGTGCAGATTGTGAGGACCTTATCAGATCACACCTTCGAACTAGATGAGGCGGCCCTTTCCGAAATTTTGAACCGCCCTGAACTCAAGGACAGGGCAGCCGTGGTCGTGAGCGTGGCTGGTGCCTTTAGGAAAGGAAAAAGTTTTCTACTGGATTTCTTTTTGCGGTACATGAACTCTAAGGTAACAATTATTCATTTTATAGTAATTTTTATAGAGTTATGTACATGAAGAAACATCTATGTCACAAAGATAGACGATATCAGACCATGAGAATGTGTTAATTGTTTTTCTCTTGAAATAATGCTGAACATTTGATCCAAAAAATGCTGATCGTAATTGCTTTAACTTTACCTATGTAGAATATAGAACTTTTAGAGGAAAATCCATGCATTCAATTTGAATATGTAATATTATTGGCAGACATCAATAAATTTTCTTGAATCTGTTGCCTGAATTCGAATTTCAAATTAATGTCTAATGTAATATTTCGATAAAATCATATTTCATAACAAAATTGATTATGGATGACTGTTGAAATTCATACAGGAGAAACCAAAAATATTTGTTACGAGTTTTTTCACGCTTTGATCTTATTAGGTTAATTCCCATTGTTTGTCGCACGCGAAGAAACACTAAATACCTTGACCTTTGATCTAAAGCAGTGTTTGCCAAAGTAGGGCCCACGCTTCACAAGAGGGCAATTTCAAATTGAATTCGACGTTTATCAACATTTACGGTTGTTTAAATGGCATTCTAGATAAATTTAACAAAATAGCTATCTTAAAAAATGCTACATTAAACTTTTCATTTATATTTGATGAGGAGCAAAATAATTTTTAGAGATGCTTAAGTGGGGCATGGCTTTGCAAAACACTAGTCTAAAATATATAAAGCACATATCAATTATTTCGGCAACAAATTCGTTATGAACCAATATTATAACATGAGTTATAGTAAATTCAAAAAAAAATAATTAGCCTATAAATTTCTCCGCTTGGAGTATCTATTATAATCAAATTATAAGAGATGGTTAAAAATATAAAAAGGGGATGACATTATAATTTATAATGTCATCCCCCTTTTATATTTTTAACCATCTCAGCTCATTGTTTTATCTAGCAGATTGCAGAAGAAATTGAATTAGAAAACACTGTATAAATTTAATATTTGACACTAACAATGATTACTGCTTTATGCTAAATATGATGATATATTGGAATTTAATTGAAAATATTGTACAGTGCCATGCATATTAAAGTTAATCCATTAATAAGATTTTTTTTAATAGTTTAAGTAAGTAAGTGAATTTTTTTCTAACATTTGAGGGTATAAAATAAGATGTATCTGAAAATAATAGCCGCATTCGAACCTTTAGTTGTAGTTTAATATTATATTTTTCAAATATAAATATTTTTTTATTTCCCTATAGTATGTGAACCGAGAATCATCAGGAGATTGGTTAGGAGCTGAAGATGCGCCCCTCAGCGGTTTCTCATGGCGCGGGGGCTCCGAAAGAGACACTACAGGGATCTTGATGTGGTCTGAACCATTTTTGCATGAATCGGCCAATGGACAAAAACTAGCTGTACTACTTCTGGATACCCAGGTCAGTTTAATAGCTTCTCATTTAAATTGCCACCAGGAAGGATAATGAATGAACTTTATAGCTATACCTTCTTAGTAACTCTTAAATCATTTTTTTCATTGAAATTACATAATAATAATAATAAATAGAAGTTGCCCGAAGGCAGATCCATGGTGTCAGAGCACCACAAATCAATGATTCTTTTTCATTCCCTTGATTTACTATTCCCAGTGCCATTGATCACTTTTTTATTATTCATTTATGCATTTTTCTTGACATATTTCTACTTCCATACTGTATGGTCTTGTGCTTCGGCTTTCAGTTCCCTGTTTTTTCTTTTATTGTCTTAGTCATCAACCGTCTGACTATAGACGATCTTAGATTACTGTTTTTAAGTGGCAATATTTTTAGTTTCAAGTGGCAGAATGAGTGCAGTTTCTTTTCCTTTAAATGATCGTACTCAATAGAGTTCTTTCTTCGCCCATTTTTTTCAGGACCTCTTCATTTGTTGCCTTATCTTCTCCATTCGCCTCCAGCACCACATTTTAAATTTCACCAAAAAGCTTTTGTCGGTCTCTTTTACAGTCCATGTCTCTGATCCATGAGAGCTTTGCTCCATACATAACCAGATTTATAGTTATATTCATATAACTTTATTTCTATTAATAAATATACTTTTTTTTAAATTATCAGTATAAATGAGGCATTTAATATATAACAGGTTATATACATTCTAGTCTTATATATTTAGAGGACAATAAGAGCAACTCTTGATTTCTGAAGCTAAGACTCATGATTTCTCTCTGTTTTCCGAACGCAGAATATTTCAGAATCCAACTTTATAACGTTTAATCAAGCTTGTTATTATAAAACGATAAATCGTTTAAGAACTGTCGATTGTTTATTATTTTCATTATTAACAATTGTCTATTGTCTATTCGATTGCATTCGAACACCTTTCTATCGCGCGTACAAAGTTCGTAAATGATTCACTAAATAATGCGCATAAATTTATTGCTATTCTTCATATAAAAATGAATAAGTGGATAGATATCATTTTTTGATAAGAAATCGATTAGCAAGAAAAAGCTTTGATGGATTGGTTTAAAAGCGTGTCATTAAATATACCAATCAATATATCAGCGCGCGATTATCTGATTTGTCAATGTTTACTTAATTCTGATTTTCTCCATAAAAATAGTACTTCTTTCTTTTACTAGATTTTACTTTTTATTAACATTAATTTTAAAACTAGTGATATATGGTACCGTGCCAAGCAAATCATTGGAACTTCCCGTACCGATAATTATTTTGTTTTTAAAGTTTTGAATTTTTTTTAAAACTGACAAAGATTTCAAATATCGAGATGTTTGAAAAAATTGCCTTCTTTGAAAAATTTGAACTTATTCTCAAAGCAATGACGCTTCGTTTCAGAAACAAAATATTGAAGCGCGTAAGCGTCTCGTCGCAGTCTAACAAACATTTGTACGGAACCCATAGACAACAAAACTTGTATCTATTACTAAAATCTGTAAAATACGTGATAATTTGATGGAAATTTGTCTTATGATCATTTTTCACCGAATGGCGTTTTTTTTCTTTTTTATTGGATTTCTGAAACCGCTGGACATGCCTTTCCAAAAAGTTAATCAGTTCTTCATTTCGTCTATACAAATAAGGTGTTTTTTGAATACTTCAAATTAGACGTTCCGTTTTCCCAAAAACTGAATTGCTAGTTTTTGCACTTTGCCAAAAAACTGATCAGCACGTCTCCCCATCAATACGAATCGAATGGTTTTTTTTAAATTACATATTCAAGTTGGTTGATCGAAATCGTCAACGAAAATTTGTATCCAAAAACACACATATACATACTTTCATTTTTTCTAAGGTATACCAAAGTGTTCAGAAACCTTTGAAACGTAAAGATATATAAAAAGTTTCAGTTTTGATTTTTTATTTTAAGATTACTATAATTTACCCTACGGGAAATTGAAAATAGATATATTTTTATTTTTTTATGTTTTATATATCAGAATAGGAATACTATTCTTAAAATTTGTCAAATAGATAATCTCAATTAAAGTTTGTTTAATGATAAAGTTTTGAATTGTATATTTAGATAACTAATATAATATTAAATGATTAAATTAATAATAATATTCAGAAATTATATGTAAGGAAAGAGCATAAAACTCAACATTGCTTCACTTTTTTTTTTGCATACTTTTATTGTCAATCATTGCTTTACTGAACTAATTTTAGGTCTTATTTGAATGTAGTGTACTTACAAATAATTTTATTCAGTCAGATTTTTTTTGAAAAACAGCCTCTTGCCTTTTGTAATCAATTCTATGATAAATGGTAAATTAATTAAACAATTATCATTGTCCGATGAAATGCGATAACAAAAACTTTGTTCGAATTATTTAACAGAAGTCAAGCGTCAATCGTGTGCATTTTGATTATAATAACATTTACATATGAACATTCGGCGCGATTTGATAAATATTCGTTTGTTTTATCTTCTAATACTATAGAAAACTACTGCATCGTGCCTTAAATGCTGGAACTTTTCAGAATTTTGAAAAAAATAGTTTTGAGATTTTTTATCAATATTATTTATTAATTATCAATATATTTATATTTATCAATAAATTATAGTGTTAGAGTAGAATTATTCTGAACACGATCTCTGATAATATAACATACGTAATAATGTATTACAAGATTCATTAACAAGACTTGTTTTATGCTAAATTACATATCACCGAAATTCTTGTGTCTCCTGAAATTTTATCGATCTTGATCTCACCATATTAAAATTCAATAGGATTTATTTTCCAAATTTATATACTATTACATTTATATTTGAATTATTACAAAAGCAAGTACAAGATATGGACAAAATTGAAAAAGAAATTTATATGTTATACTAATATCTAACAATGGTCAGAAAATTTTAAATTTTTAGTCATTTTTTTAATCCTACAAATTTACTTATTCATAATACAAAAACGATTCATTTTGAGCTAAATTTTTAACTACTTTTGTTTCCTTTCAGGGGACCTTCGACAGTGAGAGCACAGTCAAAGACTGCGCCACCGTATTTGCTTTGAGCACAATGTTGAGTTCTGTACAGATATACAATTTAACACAAAATATACAAGAAGATGATTTGCAACATTTGCACCTTTTCACGGAATATGGCAGATTGGCATTGGCTGATTCGGGACAGAAGCCCTTCCAGAGATTGCAATTCCTGGTTCGGGACTGGAGCTTTCCCTACGAGGAACAATATGGTGCTGTGGGTGGACAGAATTTGCTACAGAGGCGGATGAAAGTGAGAATTATTAATAATTCAAATAAAGAATTCTTTATTTCTATCGTTTGAGATAAACATTTCGTTGAATTTTCAAAACGAAACAACAATTTATGTTGCGATGTAAATCAAAGTTCTTTTATAAAATGAACTAATTGTACATTTTTCTTGAAACGTAAAATTATTTTGTATGTTTTAATATAGTTATTTCATTATTTCATAATGGAACTCTAAATACCAAAAAGTCATAAATGTTATTGTACATAATGGAGATGATACTACTATAACTGGCTGAAAAAACTTCTAAATGAATCCAAAACATCTAATCTTATTTTTTTTTCCTCTAGATATCAGAAAGACAGCACCCAGAACTACAATCTCTACGCAAGCATATAGCTTCCTGCTTCACTGAAGTGGCCTGTTTTCTGATGCCTCATCCTGGTTTAACTGTGGCCACAAATCCGAATTTTGATGGTCGACTTACAGATATAACGCCCGAATTTAAAGACTCTCTAAAAGTATTCATACCGATGCTATTGGCTCCCGAAAACTTAATTGCAAAACGTATAAATGGCGTACCAGTCAAATGTAGAGATCTGGTGCAGTATTTCAAAGCATATATGTCAATTTATAAAGGAAATGAGCTTCCCGAGCCTAAGAGCATGCTTGTGGTAAGTGATAATGGAAATGGAAAGAGAAACGTGAATCATTACTTTTATTCAATGTTTGCTTTGATGTTTTAATAGATATGTAATTTTTAATTTTTCTTTTTAGGCTACTGCGGAAGCGAATAATCTATCAGCTGTAGCTGAGGCTAAAGACATGTACACACAATTAATGGAAGACATCTGTGGAGGCAGCAAACCATATTTAAGTACTGCACATTTGGAATCTGAGCATTTGAGAATAAGAGATAAAGCAGTTGGTACATTCATACAAAAAAGGAAAATGGGTGGCTCTGCCTTCTCAGAAAACTATAGAATTAAATTGGAAGCGGATTTGGATGAAGCATTTGAACAATTCAAAGGACATAATGATAGCAAAAATATATTTAAGGTGAGTTGAATTTGAAAAAGGGAAGATAATTTAAATGGCAAGAGAACAACTAAATGTTAAATCTTATTATAGGCAGCTAGAACTCCTGCAGTATTTTTTGCACTGCTCATTCTTATGTATGTTCTAAGTGGAGTCTTTGGATTGGTTGGTTTGTATGCAATTTCCAATATCTGCAATTTTGCAATGGGTGTCGCACTTCTGACTTTGGTTCTATGGGCATATATTAGGTAAATATATAAATATGAAATTGGTATATTAATTCACTTCCTTTAGTTAATAACATCCTTTTACTGTCAGTTATGATATATTATCAGATATGTATTTTAGATGAATACAAATGAATATTTAATTTAACACCTCGATCTGTAATCAGATTTAAACTTTTCTTCATAATTTTACAGATATAGTGGAGAACTTACAGATATTGGTGTCACTATCGATGAAATTGCAAATATGATATGGATAAATGTAAGTTTTCATTCTACATTTTATTTACAACTCTTGAATACAATTACACAAAATTATTTTTTTAATTCTTTAAATATACATTTTGCTTTTGCTTAAAAAAAAAATTTTTTTTAAGTAAGGCAATAGTTGTGCAAGAGACTATTTTAATTTAATATCAACTCGAATTCTTAACTCGGTCTTTTTGCGTCTATTACAATAGAAGTTAATGCCATTTTAATTGTGAACAAATTACATTGGTTGTGTGATCTGGTACCTCGACATACGATTTTTATGTTTGGTTGAAGAACTCCCATGCTCAACTGTTGCAACTTTTTTGGGTGATTTTTATCCATAAACTTTTAGATCTCAGAAAGCTGTTTATAAGTTATTGTAAGGCTCTTAGCAGGAGATATACCTTTTATCAACTTTTTCTGCTTAAAAACAGTACATTTCTATTAATGCGTTATGCATTCTCACCATATTTTTCAATGATTTCACACTTTAATTCAAGAGGCTACTCATGGTTATAAAAAGTAAATAATCTTATATATAAAAATGGAGCTCTTTTTCAAATGTCCAAGTAAAACTCGAAAATGGCTAAACCGATTTGGCTAGTCTTAGTCTTGAAAGATTCGTGCCAATCCAGAGAAAGTCCAACAGGTGAGAATTTATTTCAAA